CAAAGAAGAGGCAGAAAATAATCATCCAATGTCAGGTACCTAAAACCAGGAGCCACTAAAAACTGTTCAGTGCAGTGTGCTGGGCGTGGAGGCAACAGGGATGGTACACACCTTCACTGTGTGTACATTTGCACCATAGAGATTAATAACTGAAACAAAAAATCTATAGCACATCACACAGGTATGTTTACAAAAATATTTTAATGAGCATATCAGAATGGCAGAAGGAAATGGGAGAAGGGACATATTTTACAGTGCAAAATTATTATGCAGAAATTTAAAAACATCTAATTCATAATTTTAAATGCCTACTTAAATATTACTTCAAATACATTTTAAAGCTCAACGGATTTTGTTGAACTGAGTTACAGATTCTGAACCTTATTGAGCATACATCATAAAACATTATATATTCCAAATGAAAATGACAGTGCTTTGCTAGGACCTACATAACTACCAACAGAAACTTTTCTTTTTGAGACAGAGTCTCAGGTATCCCAGGCTGACCTCAAACTCACTGTGTACTTGAGGATGGCCTTGAACTTCTGATTCTCCTGCCTTCACCTCCCAAGTGCTGAGATTACCGGTGTGCACCACCACACCTAGTTTATGTGGAACTGGGGATGGAACCCAGGGCTTTACGCATGCTGGTGCAAGCATTCAACCAACTGAGCTCATCCCCTGCCCATAATGAAAGGCTTCTTTTCTCATCTCAACTATTAAGAGCTCAAGAGTTATGAAAAGTACTAAATCTTAAGCAAATTAGATTCATGATATTGTCAAGATGTTTAAATAGTGCAATGACTTCTCAAGTTACAGTGGTTGCATTGAAGAGCCAAGGGTAAAATCCCTGTAGAAACACAGAACACAATAAAGTATTTGGGAAAAGCTGAGCATCACATATTAGTGGAATGTTTTTCATTATGCATACTTTAAAAAGAAAAATAAGGTTTATTAACATTTATACATCTGACACACTTGCCATCATGCCTGAGAATTTCCTTAAAAATGTTCCTGTAACAAGTTTCAAGAACTCCACAAACTTGCACACCAGATGGATCTTTAAAAAGGTGGACATGACACCTCCAATATTGCAATGATTGAGAAGCACAACATCACTGTTCTTTTAAAACATTTTTATAGATCATCTGTGACAAAGAGCTAGGATGACCTGGACTCATTTAATAAAATATGCTTTAGAAAATAAGACTATAGCTGGGTGTGGTGGGAAATACCTCCAACCTCATTATCAGGGGGCTGAGATAGAAGGATTTTAAGTTCCAGGCCAGCCTGGGCTACACAGTGAGACTCTGTCTTAAAAAAAGAAAGGAAAAGAAAGAGGGAGGGAGAGGAGAGGAAAGGAGAGGAGGGGGGGGAGGGGAGGGGGAGGGAGGGAGGGAGGGAGGGATATGGGTAGGGGTAGGAAGGGAGACAGGGGCCATGGCTATTTGCTAAAGCTACTTGACCTACTGCCATTCTGGATAAATTAATTTTTTCTCAGTAAAACAAACAAACAAACAAAAACCCCTCATGCTTCTCAGTACTTCCATCTGAAACTGATTTACTGGGTATTTATGCAAAAACAGTGTATGTATATGATATGTTGTCAAAGTGGCTTCCAATACTGATTGGGGAAAAGAAAAAGTTATTCCCATTGGTTAAGGGAAGCAGTCTGGACAAACATAAGAACACTCTGAGGGATGAGGCCTGGACGGTCATTCTCAGTGCAAACCTTTACCCAAGCTGCCTTTAAAGCACTGGCTCTTGAACTGAGGGCTGGGAACAAACTAAAAGCAGCATTTGGGGATGTGTCTGTGTGAGAAAAAGATAGCTAATAATCCTTTAATAAAAAAAGTTTGGAGATAGATTGGTCTATCAGCTGTATAAAACTACATTTTTATAAGAAGAATTTAAGACTGAAAATAAAATGGCACCCATCCTTACAAGGCTAGTGCACACAGATAATCCTTTTAAAAAACACAGAAGGATGATTTTGGATCTGTTTCATTTTGGAAAAAACAGTATCAAATCTGACAAACTGGATTGTAACTGGAAAGGTCTGAAAATTCTTAAAACCATTATTTTCTCATAAAAATCAACATTGCTACCTGTCAATAGTTATTATAGATGTGACAATATCTCAAAATCACCTGGTCTTTCCTTTCTGTTGACTTAATGAAAACAACGGGAAATCTTATAGTGCACAAGAGTAACAGAACAGGATTCTATTCAGCACAATACATTTACGTATTTAAGCTGACAGTAAGTCTTTGTTTTGCTTCAAAAATAATTTTGGAAACTATAGCAAATGCAAACAAGCTTGCAGTCTTGAGTATCATGCTGAACTCCAGAGGCCCCAAATTATTTGTCCATAAGTAGAAGTTTGAAAAAAAATATGTTTATAATTCTTTATGAATGCTTTTACCACCTGGATAAGAAACATGACTTGGTTAACTACACACACTTAAAAATTCATTAGAAAAATCTTAGCAAAATAAAATGAAAGCTGACAGACTCAGAATATCAGTTCCTCTCATAAAAGTTTACCAACTGTACAAGTTAAGAAAATTATACAAGCTTTTTGTATTAAGAAAAGACAGCTCAGTCAAGACATATGTACTGTAAAAATCTTTCAAAGGCTACAAAGAATCTGGAAAAATACAGAATGTATTTCTTAAGCCCAGATAAGAATATGGAAAGACATCATTGATGTCAACAATTTTACAAATACAAACCTGACTTGGTTTATTTTTAAACTTCTACATATAAAAATCATGCTAGCATAACCTTCAGGATTCATGAGGGTTTCCTTAGTTCAATTTGTAAAGAGAGAAAAATGTCTGTTGTAAAGACATTTCTAGATAATCAAGAAATTGGTACTGAGCAGAAACCCAAACTTGTTTTCCCCCCCTCCCCGACTATTCTTCCTCTTAAAAATAAGGAAAAATTACCTTTTAGTCAAATTTATGATTAGTATCTCAAATGAGAAGGTACAGATAAGTCTTTGGGTGATTCAAATTTACCAATGTTTTTATATCCTTAAAGAGGTCTTCAACAATTTAAAGTAAAAGAACTTGGAAAAGGTGGAACTATGAATCCCATTTCTTAACGTGAGGACTCAATTCAAACATCAAGATGAACCAACTACTTCAAGGAATCAGCTTTCTAAAGGTCACCCACCAACCCTGAAAATTGTAGTCACACCAGAATTTACTGCAAAGAAAGTAACACAGGCCTAGGACTTAGTCATTTGTGTTTTCATGTTCCTCAAACTTTCCATGCGAGACTGCCTCCTGGAAGAATTCAGACGAACCCGGACTTTCTTTCCCATTGCTGTTTATCCGTCGCCTTTTGGCAGGTCTCTCATTTTTTTCATCACAATCATTTTCATTTCTTGCAGTCATATGGGCAAGTTTTGGGTCAGTGGTCAGGTTATCTGCTTCATAACCATTAGTGTCCATATCGGTATGAAGTGTTTTCTTATTTCCACCTGTTGGTCCATTAACATGTAAGCCTTCAACTTTTACTTCTTCTTTGTTTAGTAGTTCACCTGGTCCATTAGATGACACACCTACATTTGGAGAAAGAAAAATGACACTTAATGAAAAAAGCTAAATTCATAAACTATTCTAAAATAGCTGCTACAACAGTTCTCACTGAGGCACAAGGAAAGCACCAAATCTGAACATACTCATGGTGTGAAGTGTGGCTCTACTGCTTACCAGGTGATAATACCAAATCTTCACAGGCTACCCATCAGTTTCCTTACACACCACGAGACCCAAAGCAAGTGCATGTTACACAGTCATTGTGAAGATAAACTAAAGCAATGGATTTTAAGGCAAAGAACAGAATCAGACATATAGTAACAGCATCCTAGGGGGCTGGAGAGATAGCTCAGTGGTTGAGAATGCTTGATGTGCTAAGAGGAGGAGCCAGGTTTAGGTCCCAGAATCCACATGGATGCTCACAACCTGTAACTCTACTTTCCGGTATCTAACACCCTCTCCCAGTTTCCTCAGTTCTCACACACATGGTACACAGCATACAAAGCACACATATACATTAAATGAAAAAAAAAAAATATTCAAAGAAGAATCCCAAGTATTACTATGTAGGAACATACTGACTGACATTGTTCCCAGAGGAGATAGGATCTGAAACATGGAGAGTCTGAGATCTTTCTGGATTGCATGTAGCAAGATTCTTCCACAACAGGCAGGAAAAGTAAAATTATTCTAATTAAAGCAAGTAGCAGAAAGATCAAGAGCTGACTACAAAATGGAACACAAATTTTAGTAATACAAAGCCCACTCAGCACACATCATTGGAGATAATGAAATCTTAATTATGTGAAAAATATTCAACATAAAGGATGGGTCTCAAAGATTATATTTTGGTCAAAGAAAATAATTTTTCTCAGTTCAGTGTGTATCCAAATCTTGAACACATACAAGAACTATGTATCATATAACATTAAAGAATTCTGTACTAGCTAGTCCAAAAAGCTAAGTTAAACTGATCAAGTAAAAAATAACTAACATTAAAATGTGCATTAGTTAAAGTCCTTTATATAAAAGAAATTTTAGAGACCCAGAGAGGTTTCCTAGTGAGAACTTAGGGTCAGAGGATCTGAGCTTGCTTTTTACCCAGCAGGGCTGCATAAGGGGATGATTTGACCATGGTGTGGTTACTAGGTGTTTGGAAAAGTCTACACTTTTGGCTGTGCAGTGTGCTTTGAGCTAGCAAGGGGGAGGTCTTTTGCTCTGCCCCTTGGCACTGTTTTAAAAAGCCCTTTTAAAGAGGCGGAAGTGTGTTGGGTATTGACCTAGGTCCTCCTGAAGCTGTTCTGTTTGTCTTTCTCCTCTTCGCTATCTTTCTATCTAATATTTCCTATCCCTCTCCTCCTCATAGGAACCCTTTTAAAAGGTGGGAGCTGGCCTCCCACAAGAAATAAAGATAAAAAATATATATATATATATTAAAAAGTTCTAGCCTTTCTTTGGAAAACCTGAAAATCTCTATTGTACTTACCTGATGTCTTCTGAGCTAAACAGCATTTTCTAGGTCATTTGTGAAAATTATCTTACCCTAATAGTGCTTTCTCATAGAAGAAAGGGTTGTCTTTGTAGGATGTTAAAAACAGACAAAAGGAGTGACATTCTCAACTCCTGAGCACCTCCCTCAGGTCCATGTTCCAGTCAAACTGCACTTCAAATCTCTATAAAGGAAGGGGCAGCGGACTGCAGAACAGCAGTCTAACAAGCAGTCTCAGACCCATGCATGGCTGCTGAGACCCACACCCTGTCTGGCCAGCATATTCTTCAAGGGAGAAATATGAAAAGGACCATGAAATGAACTAAGTAATAAGTATGCAACTGCAGTGAGAGTCTGAGGTCAAAGCTCTGGCATTTTCTCCAGAACCTTCTCCATGGCTCCCCCCAGTTTGAAAGGTTTTAACTCCACTTTCTCCCCACAAGGATGCTGTAGAACCATGCTTGCCATTTTCTGCTAAATAATATTCTTCTTACCAGGGACAATTAAAGTAGAAATCAGAAAAATTCTTGGAACAGCTCTTACAGATGGTCCTTCACATACTCTGCATGAAGAATGCTTTCATGTGTGTGAGCATGTGTAAATGGTTCTGCAGAACACCCATGCCCAGGTTGAGAGCTGCTTTACATGTGCTCACTTTTCAAGGGTATTATGCAAAGTCAAATATTCAAAATTCACCTATTAATCTACTTTTTGTCTTTATGATTATATCCATGTTACAAGTTCTCTAACTATTTGAAAACTAAATGCATTTCTGATGCCTGGATTTGTCTAAAAGTTAAAGCAGTACTCACATCTAGGCATTATCCCACTCAGGTAGGAGATGCTACCTAACACAAATGTACTGAAAGCAACGATCCCTGTGTAGCTTGTTTCATAGATTTCAGTTTATGTGTTACTAAGAACTCTGTCCAATTACTCTACGGAGTGTGTTTGGATGTGTGTGTGCAGATCTTTCGTGTTTATATTTTCAGACTCTAGAGTTTAAAGTGAATTCCCGTGAGCCATTCTTTGTGTCGGTCACTGTGAAGAACGCGGTGTAGTTCCTGGTTGCTTACCATTTTGATTACTATTGCTGACAGTGCCATCTTCTTTCTCCGACTGGCTGTTACTACTATTTGATGCAGTAGGGGGAGGGGATGGTGCTCGGCTTGAAGCAGCACTTTCACTCTCATCCAAAAGACGATCCATGTAATCCCTTAAGATTAAGTTAAAGAATACAATTATTTCCTTAAATAAAATGGTGAAGATTAAAATTAGTTAAGTATATATTCCACTGTCAACACATAATGTCCTGATTGTACCAGGATCTAAACACCGTCTTCGGAAGCTTCTTTCGGCTATGTATTTGAAGGGAGATGTATGAAGGTGCTACACTAAGGAAAATGTAAAGCCCACGGCAAGCTTAAAGACTTTAAACTGTGCACAGAAAGGCTCAAAAGCGCTCAACTGAAGCTGGAGTGTGTGTATGTAAAGAGGTGAGGATGACGTCATTGGGGGTACAGGGTGATTTCTGAACAGATACAGACTAGTTTTCAGTTTCCTAAAGGCAACAACTGAAGGTGCGACTGAGACCTAGCACAAAGTTTGATCCCTGACAGCCACCATACAGATCAGTTTTCTGTCAGATCTGTACCATAATGGGTTAAGTCCTGGGCATATTTGCTGGTCACCTATCAGTATCTTGTTGCAGACAGGCTTATTTATAACTTCACTACTATTTCCTGAACTATAGTTGAGGTTCACTGACACTGGGCTGAGGTGAGAAGAAATGGGCTAAATACTTGTCTGAGGGTTGTTATTTTACAATGAAATGCAGATAAACCCCATGTGTCCTATCTACACACATAGTTATTGTATTACACATGAAAGTGGCAGACTGTGGCCTGTGGGCTGGCTGCTGTTTTTTTTGTAAAGTCCGACTGGAACATGGTCATACACCTGTAACTCCAGGACTGGACAGTAGAGATGCTGGATACCTGCAGCTCACTAGCCAAGCCAGACAGTCATAGCAAGCCTTGGGTTCCAAGGAAAGACCCTGTCTAAAAAAAACTTGATGGGTACTTCCTGAAAAACAACACCCAAGGTTGTTGTTTGGTGCACACACAAAACAAACATGTACCACAGAAACATATTGTAAGCAGAAACTGATCAACGTAACATTCTTGACATTATAAATGTAATGGCTTTTACAATGTTCCAGCTCAATGCTCTACACTGTCATTAAAAAAACAACCAAAGAACCAATCTGAAACACACATTAATAGGAACAGGTAAGATGACTATCAACCCTTTGAGAAGCTAAGGCAAAAAGAATAGGCACTAATACATGAGAAGGAATTACTAGAAATAAACAAAGCTTAGTGGGAATGAATATTGGAAGATGTTAAAAAGCCATTCAAAAGAAAGCTAGATGAAAAGACATCAAAATTATGTACAATTTTTGAACATGGCAACGATAATGTGAAAAACAATAACCATCATCTTTATATTAATGTAATCCTAAATGCTTAGAAAGGAAGTCAGGTAGAACAAGTCAGAAAGGTAAGAGTGCTCAAGTTCAGATAACTGGACTTTTAAGAATTATTCAGAATAGCAATAGCTCCAATTTGAATGTGGCTCTCAATCCCTCCAGGTGGTAACTAGGGGTCAACTGTAGTGGAGCTCTCAGAGGCTGTGGCAGGAAGGGCAAATGAACTTCAATCTGGTAATAAGGGAAGTAACAAAACAGAAAAACTTAACAAGGACTCTTAAGATAAGGCACTTAGTCTAACGTGAACCTAAAAACAAGGGAAAAGAAATTCACAAGTGTTTTTTTAAGGCAGTGGTTCTCAACCTGTAGGTTGTGACCCCTGGGGTGTGTATGTGTGTTAAACAATCCTTTCATTAAAAAAGACATATATATTATATTATGATTCCTAATAGTACCAAAATGAAGTAGCAATGAAATCGTTCTATGGTTGCAGTCACTACAACATGAGGAACTGTATTAAAAGGTGGAAGCACTAGGAAGGCTGGGAACCACTGCTCTAAGGCATTACATATGTCTTATACAACCACTTTAGGATAGAATCATTAGCAGAAAATGCAAGCAGGTCAGAAATAGTTCTTATAGAAAATCACAATTTCTCACCACATGAGTAATAACGTACAGTCTGGTCATTACTTCTTTTCAACTTTTACTATTTATTTTGTAAGATAGTGTCTTGCTATGTAGCCTCACCTGACCTGACAGTGTACAGCCCAGACTAGATTCAAACTCATGCAAATCCTCCCATCTCAGCTTTCTGAATGCTGAGATTACAGGTGTGAGATACCACACCTAGCTGGTCATTGCTTTTTATAGAAAGTATAATACACCTGTAAAGAAAATGCTGTAGTTCTTTTAGGGGGAAAAAAAAAAGGAAGACAAGGCAGACAGGCAGACAGACAAGCACAAAGGAGCAAAGGAGTAAAAGTAAATTCCACAAGAGCACGGTGATTGTGCCCCAGGGGAAAACCACACACATTTGTGACTTCATTCCATTCTGACACGAGACCTTAGAAAAAACAAAGTGTGGGTTACTTTAACTGTGGTTTGTCCACCTACAGAAAACTTAACCTTAAGAGAAATTAAGAAGTTAAGTACCTTCAAAAAGTCTTCAGAAACTCTAAGAGACTATCAGATAACCTAAAAACCACCCCTGTCTACTCTACTGCACTGGACATCACAGAGCCAACTAAGCCAAGCCCTTAGCACATTCCTCTGCTAAGGCATTCTGAAAAAGAAATGGATGAGCCAGGAGTCTGACCTAGCACAGCAAATGGTATGTGTGTTTATGCTGATGATGACATCTTCATCACATCTAAACGTTGCTTCTGAAATAGGGAAAGGAGGGAGGGATACATCTAGTCCTACATCTTAGAGCTTGAATCCACAAAAAATAAATTTAGTAAGTAGTTAAAGTTATGAATTAAGCTATCAAATTAAATTCATTAAATTATTTTTAACTGCTTATCAAGCAGTGAAAGTTTGTAATGCTCCTTTATATGAAATTCCCTAATGCTCCTTTATATGAAATTCCATTCTAATGATCACCAATTCTGACTAAGTGGAGAACAGGAGAGGTAAGGAGTTCACTGTTTTTTGATAAAGGTGGATCACATTCATTTATTGCCTTGCTTGGGAGTGGTGTTGGAGATGAACTCAGGGCCTTCAAAAGACTAGGTAAGCACTCTAACCCCAGCCCTCATTTATACTTTTTTAATTTATTTTGCTTTGGGCTCTACAATGCCTGGTCTGAGGAAGTACTGAGTACAGACATCTAGGTATAAATAAACATAAAAAAGAAATACTATGGCCTAGGAGTTTGGAAAAATATAATTCAATATAGTAACAAGCACATCTTTGTAAAGTAGCTTGAGGACATCTGTACTAGTGCACACTGACCTCAACTACTCACAGCTTGAATGAAGCTAAAAGAATTTCATGTCAGGATTGTATTTAGGCAGGTAAGACACATGCATAGTGTGATTACAGCTACCATCACTGTCAATCAGAATGTTAGAAGTGCATTACTATGCATTACTTCTGTAATATGTCCTGAAAGATTCGGGACAGCTAGGAAAAGGTATGTCTAACAAACAAGGATATAATTTAACCTGACAATTATCTACATTCAAATCTTGTTTTAGTTCCAAAGATCAAAACAGATTGCACAGGGAAAATTTAAGTTTCCCTACCTTTTTTTTATGGCCCTCTACAGGTTATATAGCCCAATAGTTTTTAGAAGTTTATCTTGGTCCTATTTTTACTATTTTCGAAGGTTAAAACTAAAGCCAGATGTGATGGTGGTGGTGGTGCACATATACAACCCTGGCACTTGGAAGGTTGACAAAATTGCTAAGAATGAGGCCAGCAAGATTTTACCTCAAAAATAAATAAATTAAATTAAATATTAACACTGTCCTTTTCAATTTTAAGATATCTAATGAAAATCTGCACTCTAAATCTTGGTTTAACGCTTATTGTCTTAACATGTATCATGGCTTACAATTTTTTTAAGACAATAAAGTCTGCATGCCTTATATGTCAAGAGACTGATAAGTTTTGAAAGTAACAGAAACTGTATTTTGAAGGATTACAAAATTCAAAATTCTTTAAAGAAAAATCCAAGAAAGCTTAGAAAACAACTCACGTTACACCAGGATGAAGATTATATTTCTTTTTTCCAAATCTTGTTTGCTGAGCAAAGAAATCATAACGCTCAGACTTTTTCCACATGTAATAGAATGCTACACATTCACCAACTGATCTTGTTCGGACCTGTAAGAAATAAAGACTTGTTTTTAAGAATAGTCTCCTAACAGTGCCACTTCAAGAAAAACCTCTCAAGTCTGTGTTGGATAGTTTTACGTCAACTTGAAACAAGTTACAGTCATTGGGAAGAGGGACTCAACCAAGAAAATGCCTACACAAGACTGGCCTACCAGCAAGTCTGTGGACCATTTTCTTGATTGAGATAGGTGGTGCCAACCCTGGGCAGGTGGTTCCGCGTTGTATTAAGAAAGCAAACTGGACAAGCCCTGAGGAACAATACAGTAATCAGTGTCCCTTTATGGTTTCTGCTGCAGTTCCTGCTTCTAATTCCTACCTCAACTTCCTTCAATGACAACAAGGTACTGTAATGTGAAACTATAAGCCAAATAAACCACGGTGTTTTACCACAGCAATAGAAACACTAAGACAGACTGGAAAAAAAAGCTACTCTTTAGTTAATATACACGACAAGCAAACATGATATATTATGTATGAAATACAAACTACAGCAACTGTGCTGAAAACTATTCTTTCTAAATCCATTGAGAAAAATAATACATCAATAACTATATATGATAGTTAGCATTCTGTTTTTTAATTCAAAGACAGCCCCACTCTAATATTTTACAATAAAACAAGTATTCCTCTAATGCAAATAAGAGTGACAATTAGGTTAAAATGAATCCAAAGAACATATGCTTTTACTCACAGATTACCAAGGGACTCTACATTTAAATCCTCCCTCCCTCCCTCCCTCCCTCTCTCTCTTTTGGTATTTTGAGACAGGGTTTCTCTGTGTAGCTTCAGAGCCTTTCCTGGAATTCACTCTGTAGACCAGGCTGGCCTCGAACTCAGAGATCCGCCTGACTCTGCCTCCCAAGTGCTGGGATTAAAGGCGTGTGCCACTACCGCCCGGCCTTAAATTCTCTTATAAATGATTTCCCACAATAAAGCATGAAATCAGATCTGAACCTCGAACCTTTTAGAAAAATCAATTCAAAATGAATCAAAGACCTTAATATAAAATCTGAACCTCTGAAACGCCAGATGTATAAAAACACAGGTAACTTTTGACAGTAGAGGTGCAGGTGAAGTCCTTCTAAAAAGGACTCTACCAACACAAGAAACAAGCCGAAGAATTGACAAATAGGATTGCTTGAAATTAAAAGCTTCTGCACTCAAATGAAACTATCAGCAGAGTAAAGAAACCACCTACAAAATGGAGAAAACTTTTGCTATCTATTTATCTGAAGTGGATTAATTATTTAGAATATATAATGAACTCTAAAATAGCCAATAAATACCAAGTATTCAGGATCCTTAGCTTTCAAGGAAATATACACTAAAACTGCTTTTAATCTCTATCTTACTCAAGTCAGAATGGTTTTTTACAAAAAATAAGCAACAAGAATAAGTGACAACAAATGCTGGCTGGATATAGGGAAACAAATGCCCCAGGATGTAGAAAAAGAGGATATAAACTGATAAAACTAGTATGGAAATCAGTATGGAGACTCCAGATAAAACCAAAAACTGAGCTATAATAGGACCCACCTGTCATCCTGAGGTATATACCCAAGGATTTCAAGTCAGCACATCACAGAGATAACTTGCTTACCAATGTTTATTGCTCTAGTATTCACAACAGCCAATTAACAAAACCAATCTAGATGCCCACCAACATATGAATGGATATAAAAATATGCAGATACACAATACAATTTTATTTAGCTGTAGAAAATAAATGAAATTATGACATTGTAAACAAAAATGGATGGACTGAGATCTTATGTTAAACAAAATAAGCCAGACTAAGAAGGGGAAATGTAATTTCTCTTATATAAAAATCTAGACGTAAATTTTTATGTGATTTTTATATCCTTTATATATGTGTACATATATAAAGGATATAAAAGCAAAGGAGACAGAGGTTAAGGGACCAAGAAGGTAGTAGCATATACATGCCATAATCAACAAAAAATGCTGGCAATCTCCTTCACTGCTACTGCCTTGGAGAGCTGGAGAAGTTGATGGATAAAGAATGAAACACTGCACGCTTCAAAGAGAAAAAGGCCCATGGAGTAGTGCTCTGGAAGGAAAGAAAATGCTAAAAAAAAATTTCGGCACTGATTTCATCTACTACTGAGGACACCCTTAACTTACCTAACATAGATTTTTCCCCCCCCTTTCTTCCCCTCTGTTTCAACTTGATTAAAGTTGTAAAGCAATAAGGGCTTTTAAAAAGTCCTTTCAAGAAACTAGAGAAATGGCATTTAGTGGTTTAGAGTATCCCAAGGTCCCAGGTTCCATTTCCAGCATCCACATACATAGTGGCTCTCAATCATCCGGTTTCAGGGAACCTGATGCCCTCTTCTGGCCTCCTGAGGCAGCAGGCACACATGTGGCACACACAAGCAGGTAAAATGCCAATCAACATACATTAAAAAAAAAATTCTTTCAAGCTCTTTTTTGTTTTGCTTCCTAAAGAATGATTTCAAGTCAGCTGTAATTTACTGATGCAAAAACCAAGACATCTTGGGACATGCTATTACCACAATACAAAATCTTCATGAAATAAGCTTATAACAGAACTTCAATATTTTCACATTCAACCCTCAAAGAATCACTGTCCTCCCTTTGTTCACTAGAGCAACTAAGTAGAGCATAGGCCAGATGACTCTTAAGAGCATTTAAAAGACCCCACTCAACATTTATAAAGAAATCAGTTATATTATGATGATGATGATGATGATGATGTTTTTGAGACAGGGTTTCTCTGTGTAACAGTTCTGGCTGTCCTAGAACTCGCTTTGTAGACCAAGCTGGCCTAGAACTCAGATCTGCCTCCATCTGCCTCCCAAGTGCTGGGAATTAAAGGTGTGCCCCCACCACCACCCAGCCAGTTATATTCTTAATAAGGCACATGCTGAAACTTTGGCTCATGGTTTCAAGTCAGCTAATGAGTTTTTTTTAAAGACTTTTGAAGTCACACTGGTGGGGCTTTGCTTCTGCACTTTCAGTTACACTCCAGAGATGCCCCTGAGAGGTAACCCAACAGTTTGGTTAGCAGTATACAAGGAATACCAGAAAAAATAAAATATACTTTTCAACCTGCAAAATGGATTTTAAAACAAATTCAGGAACATGCAGTCAGTCACCAGTTAACACAACCTTTCCCCAGAGTGCTGACTGTATCAAATTTGGACATATTGGGCTCCCCACTTTGGACACCAATTGCATTGTCTAAGTTATTCTAAACACTCAAACTCCAAGATTCTCTTTGACTATCAATGTTTTTCTTTTGTAAAAGATGTAATTATTTTTAACTATGTGGTGTGTGTGTGTGTGTGTGTGTGTGTGTGTGTGTGTGTGTGTGTGTGTTTGAGAGTGAATGAGAGTGCAGGTGCCTATAGAGGCCAGAGGTGTAAGTTCCTCTGAACCTAAAGTTACAGGTGGTTTTGAGCCACCCACCCAACATTGGCGCTGGGTACCAAATCTGGGTCCTTGGCAAATGCAGCATTCCTTCTTAACTGGTGGGCAATTCATCAGTAATGCTTGATGTGAATTATAAAAATGCAACTATATTAAGAAGAAAGTAGTAAATGCAAAGTAAAATTAGCAGTGAATTCACAGGATCTGTAACTCTCATTTAATAGTGAGTGTGTCAAAACAAAGCAAGTATATTCTAGCAATAGCTAGAAAAAAACAAAACAAATAAAAAACACTGAATTGGAGCTTCAAACATATGCCCAATACTTAGAACATAGTCCTGTACAAGGTATCGGATTTAAAAAAAAGTTCTCTTCAAGGAAATATATAAGGCCTAGCTCAACACATTCATGAAAAGTAATGTTCATGAGTTTCTATATTTGTGCTGAAACTTTATCATAATCTCCCCACAAAACCACCTAATTTTCTTTGCTGTTATATAAAATGGTGGAGTTACTATTAAAAATTCTTTGAGAATTCTGTTGTTTAAAAAAAAAAAAAAAAAAAAACCCACCAGGTGTGGTGGCACACACCTTAATTCTAGCACTTGGGAAGCAGAAGCGGGCAGATCTGGGAGTTCCAAGTCAGCCTGGTCTACATAGTAATTTCCAAGACAGTCTTGGACTAAGTCTGACAGAGTTAGATAATGAGACTCTATGTCCAATCAAACAAAACCAAAGCCCAAAGGTTGGCAAGATGTCTCTGCAGGTAAAGGTGCGTGCTATTTGACATTACCCACTATACAAAACTGTCTTCTGACTACAACATGTGCACTGTGACACTCATATGCCCCCTCCCACATTCAAGAATAAATAATAAAAATTCCTTGGGAAGAATTAAATGTTCAAACCTACAAGTTATTATTTAGTTCTTTAGGATACATACTGTACGACTGATATTTATAGGATATCAAACTATGTTTTAAGTCTATGGTGATAGATACCTCTGGAAAATATCATCTTAAGAATATAATTTAAGATCATTTAGGACTTAGGTAACCATAAAAAATATTTTAATCATGGACAATAAGACGGTTCAGCAGGTTAAGGTGCTTGCCACCAAGTCTGACAATCTGAGTTCAACCCCAAAGTCCCGCAGGGTAGTGGTGGGGTAGACCGACTTCAGAAGGGGAAGGGGAGATGGACTCCAGAGTTGTCCTGTGACACACACACTAAAGCACACACACACATCACACAAATAATTATTTTCACTGTAAATTTGATGTTAAGAATATTTTAAAATTTCAAAATTACTTTAAAGAGGTATTTGCAATTGATAGCTACTGGAAGAGAAAAATTTGTTTTCTATTAACCAAACTCAGAGGCAGGCCCCATAATAAGGAGCAGTCAGCTAAGACAAACTGACAATCCATGGGTGTTGTGTTTGTGTGTATGTAGATGTGTCTGCACGCGGGAAAGAACATGAAATTGGTGGGGTAGGATCTGGAAAAAGGACAGGATAGAATATGATAAAAATATATTGAACGAAATTCTCAAAGAATGTGTAAAAACACATTATTTTAAAAATGTATAAACCTCTTGTCACAGAAAACAGCCTTCAGTAATTGCATTTATGCATACACAATCAGAGAAGTTGACTAACAGACTTATAAATGAGTTCAATTCTTAAATACTTACAGTATAATAAAAAAAGTCACCTGACAAATATGTCAGGCAGTCTAAGTATGCTTATTCTAATTAGTTGTAAATCAAAAGACTGTAATATTACAAAAACTTTAAATAAATCATTACTTACTTTATTAGCCTGGATCAGATGAAAATCTTTTCCATAGGCCTTCAGCCCTTGTTCAAAATTTCTACACTCTTCCTCTGTCCACACAGATAATTCCTCTGACAAAATGAGGCGACAAAAGCAAACTTTTAATAAACAATAACAAAACTGAAAGCAAAAATGTAACTTTCTGGTAAAAAAAATTAAGGGAGTAGATCTTACTCTTAAGTGTTAATATTGGTCATTGCAAAAGATACAGTGATAAAAAATCCCGATTTAATAAAAATTGGAATGATTTGATCCATAACTCCCCAATCTCAAATTTGGGCCCCTTGTTCCTTGTTGTTGTGGAGACGAGGTCTTGCTATATTTCAGCCAGGCCTCCAACTTGTAATGCTTCTATGGTGGGCCACCTCTCCCAGTTCTCCTCAGTTCTTTCCAGCTTACTGTCAGCAGCCACCTTTTCATGCCTTCAACGTGGTAAGCTCTTTCTTACTTTGGACTCTACATGGAAGTATGCTCTGCCCCCTACCTCATCTCTCAACAATGTAATTGTTCACTCATTAATAAAAATACTTTGTTCTCAAAAGTTTCCCCTCAAATTCTCACCTTAAGTAGATTATGTCCAGTTATAACAGGCTTTATTTAACAATATCTTCTAACTCTCCTCTAAAGATCAGCAACCATTTTTCAGCCTGCTGCCAGGCCATGAGGACTGAGACTCATATGGTTAGGTGCTCGGAGCTAAAGAGCCTTCAGACTGACGTCATGTAAACAGATAATCTATCACTGTCATACCCATAGAAACATATACCTATAGATATACATGTACTTTCAGTGCAGTGGAGGAGCCAAATTTAGATTAAAAAAGGGAGAAGTCAGGTTTCAACTATAGCTTTATTGCTCATAAATTACACCTGCCTCAGCCACACTACTTTGGTTCAGAGACCTCAATCTCCCAATTCTATTTAATAATTCTTTATAATGATTTGTGTCTGTTTCCATGTGTTATGTGCAGCACAGTGTGTGAAGGGAGGCCAGGGAACTATTTTAGGTAACGGGTTCTTTTCTTCCACCTCTCCATGGTCTCAGCTATCACAGTTAGGTTGTTGGGCTTGAGTGACAAGCCCTTCCCCACTGAGCCGCCTAAGCAGCCCAGTCTTACAATTTTAAAGTTAGGAAGTAGGTGTTATGTGATAGAGCTCATAGGACTATTACAGAGATCAAAGAAGAAAATCTTTAAATATGTCTTCAACCTATAAGGCATTATATATTTTAGACTTTCACTTAAATGCCCTTCTTTTGCATAATAGAACAATCTTAATCCCATTCCCTGTAACAATTTGAGTGACATTTGTGCTCTGCACATACCCCCTGAATTGAGAAAGACTAGTTATTAAGCTGAAGACACATTTAGGTGAACTGAGCAACTTAAAGTTAAAATTGCTGCCAAGTCATGAAATGAAAGTCTAGCATGTGTTTACCTCGAGCTGCTTTGACATTAAATCTCAATCTTCTCAAGGCTTCTTCTGTATCAAAACTGCATTTAACCAATTCATATAAAGCCTAGAAAAATAAAAGGTTTCTACGTAAGACTGACAGACTACCAACAGTTCAGCCTGATGCTCATTTTTAAGAGCACATTTTTCTGAATCCTCTGCTTATTTCTATGCTTTCTGGTCCAATTTTAGTGAAAGCAACATACAGAGCACCAAGGGAAAAAAAAAAGATGAGTTTAGGGCCGGGTGGTGGTGCACGCCTTTAATGCCAGCACTCAGGAGGCAGAACCAGGTGGATCTCTGTGAGTTTGACGCCAGCCTGGTCTACAGAGCAAGATCCAGGACAGGCACCGAAACTACACAGAGAAACCCCATTCCAAAAAAAACAAAACAAAAAGAGCTCAATCTAACCTTCTATGCCTCTCACTATGTACAAGAAAAGGTATACAACCTGGTGACCAGAGTATCTCAGCAACTGAGATATTAATCTCATATAAAATATCATTTTGTTTAATGTGGGGGACCAGCCCCTACACTTATATACCCCAAGGACTCTTAAGGAATGAGGGAGAAGAGACTTAGTTAGAAATAAAGAGGGGAGAGAAAACAAAGGATGGACTCGAGTGGGCCTGGATCCTTATCCACTGGCCCAGAACTTTTTTCCAAAGGTCTGTTTATAACAATGCCAAGGGCTGGAGCAAAAGACCTGCCCCTTGCTAGTTATAGTCAAGTGCAGACCCTTACAAACCCCTGATACTCAGGCCCGTGGTCCAATCAACCTCTTATGCAGTCCTGCTGGGTATAGCCACTAAGAAACCTAGTGGGTTACAACAGTTTAAGTTGTAATTCTTTGCAGCCTTCTGAGATCCCTAATATTTTAAACAAATTGAGAAAGAAAAACAACAACAAACAAGATTGTAAAAATGCTGTTGTATTAGGTTCATGGTAGGTATTAGTCTGACCATATACACAATGGCATTATCTGAGATGAGGGTGCCAACTTGATCACAGAAGTGGAGTCTCATGGAGATAGAATAGAAAACAAATAAAACAAAAGGCCAGGCAGTGGTGGCCTCTGCCTCAGGAGGCAGAGGCAGGTGAGTCTCTATGAATTGAGGCCAGCCTGGTCTGCAAAGTAAGTTCTAGGACAGCCAGGGCTCCACAGAGAAACCCTGTCTCGAGAAAATAAATAAATAAATAAATAAACCCAGAAGAAAACACTTTTAAAAGCACTATGAAAAGTATACCTAAGCAAAGTAAAGATTTCTGTTTACTGGAGCTGAAACTGCATCAATGATGTAAGCATATCAATAGGAGGTCTTGTGCTAATTCCAACCTTTACAGAAGGAGTTCAGGTGGGCAGAGCACCCATATTGAGAAATGAGGAAACCCCAAACAGCTGCTCCTTACTAATGTACCTGTTCGTTGTCTTTTATGTGAGATCCTTCAGGAATTGCTTCTACACCTTTCTCATCACCTGTTCTTCTGGATGCATCCTTAAGAAATACAATCACTTTATCTTCTGGTAAATATTCTGGGTCCCACAGAAGCTGATCATCATTTTCATATACTAAATTCATAAACAAAATGTTAATAAAAACTGCCAAAAGTTGACATAATTTGTGCAGAGACATATCACTAAACAAATAACTCAGTCTTCTTAAAACTGATTTATTTTCTCTATATATGTTGTGCATGTGCCACACCACACATGTGAAGGTCAGAGGACCACTAGTAGGAGTCAGCTCTTATTTCATTAATTGATTAGTTCATTATTTATTGAGACAGAATTTCTCTGTATAGCCCTAGCTGTCCTGGAATTTGCTCTGCAGACCACTGGCTTCCAACTCAAGAGATCCACCTGCCTCCAGAGTGCTAGGATTGAAGGCATGTCCACCATCACCTGTTGAGAGTCAGTTTTTAATATGTGAATCCCAAGTATCAAACTCGGGTTGTCAGGCTTGGATCTCTACTCTCTTGTCTTCTTATGTGGTTCCTTTCTTTCTTTTCTTTTCTTTCTTTCTTTCTTTCTTTCTTTCTTTCTTTCTTTCTTTCTTTCTTTCTTTCTTTCTTTCTTTCTCTCTCTCTCTCTTTCTCTCTTTCTCTGTCTCTCTTTCTTTCTCTCTTTCTCTCTCTCTCCTTCCTTCCTTTCTTTCTTTCTTTTTTAAGATTTATTTCTTTATTATATATACAATATTTTGCCTGCACGTATGTCTGCAGGCCAGAAGAGAGCACCAGATCTCATTACAGATGGTTGTGAGTCACCATGTGGTTGTTGGGAATTGCACTCAGGACCTCTGAAAGGGCAGTCAGTGCTCTTAACCTCTGAGCCATCTTGCCAGGCTGTGTTTTTTTCTTATGTGCCTTCATGTGTTATAATCATTTTCATATAAAAGTCACAACCTTTAAAAAAACTTCATTTTCATCATAATTTCCAATGTAGTAAGAATAAAGTCTGAATCTCACCAAAATTTGAAAATAGGAAGGATCATGACCTGAGACAGTGCCTTATGAGAGTTCAAATCACATCAAACCCAGGAACAAGAGCCTAAAATGTAGTTAGTGCTAGAAATGTGAAAACCTCAGGAACCATGACAAGTGCTTTCAAGAGTGATTTCCAAAGCTGGTTAAATGCCAGAGTGACCAGGGGTTGAAAAGAGGCCTACTGGGTTTACTAACAGGGATATGAGGATGTGAGGACTGAGCTGAAGGGCTGGGAAGGTAAGTGGGAAGTGAAACAAAGCAAAATCTTTTGAGAAGTTTGGCTAGGAAGGTGGGGAAATGGCAGGAGGCAGTGAGGAAATCCAGTTGTACAAAGTTTATAAGGCCTCAAGTACTTAAATTTCAATGGAAAGGAAATCACTTGATAAAATAATTATGAGACATGAGATGACTTTCAAAATTCCTTGTATTATGAAAAGGAGTAGCAGCTACTTAAGCATTTCCTGTATACTAGGCAATGTATCAACTGTCCTCACATAAATTACTTTCTTCCTCTATTCACATACACGTACTTTAAAAACCTCCTACTCTTTCCTGATTCTCTCAATATACACTCTTCTCTGAAACAGAACTCAAAGGACAATATGTAGAAAAATGTCCTTCTGTCATTCTTTATTCTGTTGGCATAATAAACACTCAAATTGAAATGTTGACTCCCCCTGCTAAATGAATTTGGATATAGTACTAATTTCGGTTCTCTACTCAGCCTGTTCTGCGAAAGGAATGGATTCTTTACTACTTATGTTTTAAAGGTTGTCTCAGGAAGAGGAAGTGAAGGGGTGTGTGCCTGAATCCCAGTGTTCTCCACACCTCATTTAAACCTACAGAACAGCAGAAATTACTACAAGCCATTTCTGGAATCATTGACAATAGTCTACAAATCCTCAAACTGAGTAGACCATCACCAGGTGGCGCCAAATGACAAAATAGCCTCCTTTAAGGCTGAACAGATGGTTTTGATTGTGTCAGGAACCTCAGAATACATACTTCATTTCAGACAATTACAATATAGTCAGTAATGAGCATGGGGGGGGGGAGCAACAGAAGTCTCTCTAATTCACGGTGTAGACAATATGCACACAGATATAAATTAGCAAGAGTTCAGAGAGTAGTTCACTAGTGTATGAAGAAAGGGGAGAGGAGAGCTTATGACATCTTATTAAAGACTGACTCAGCAGCCATTAAATGAGACCCCAGAAGTGCTAATTCACAGATGAATCTGATGAGGCCGGTCAGTGGACCATACTTAACTAGGTATTCACACTGTTCATTTCAGCTATTCTATAACCTACAATAAACTTAGAAAAATTTCAAGTAATCAAATTGAATGTGTTATATAAGCAAGATAAACCACCAAAATCATCTCACAAACTCCACTATATATAGTTGGCAAGGACTACATACAAGAATTAGGAGAGGGCTATGTATTCTGATTTGAGGAAAAAACAAATATTTGACATGAGAAGCTGAGAGCTACCATTATAATGCCACAAACCTCTGTAATTTAGAAAAACAATTCCTAATGAATAAATGTATACTTATACATTATCAACTTTATTCCATTTTTAATGCCCAAGAACGAATGTGATCTAATCAGGGTATCTTAGTATGAAAAGCTACCATCAGCAATGTCATACAGCAATGTCATACAACACTGGAGTTCACCAGACATTGGCGTATTTTCAAAATGTCATATTCACATAGCCTTCTGACACACAGTTAAGTGAACAGTTGCAGAATGAGTATTCCTAAGCAGAAAATCTAAAGGCCAAAATGATCTGAAATCCAAAACACTGCCTCAAGTACTCTGGATAAGGGATATTCAGCCTGTCGTAAGGATAGACTACATTGTTCACTTCCCCATTTTAGTCACAGAAGAACTAACAATACAGCCAGGTGTTGTGGCAGTACTTTTAATCTCAGGCATTAGGAAACAAACAGCAGGACTGCCTGACCCCAGGAGTTTGAGAATGTCTGGAAACACAGTAAGCCTGTCTCAAAAAACAAACAAGACAACAACAACAACAACAAAACCCAAAGCAGCTCCTTGTACTAGTGAACACCTACTGGGGCCAGGAAACTCAAAGCAAAGTTGGTAAGACCCAGCCTCAAAGCAAACACTCTAAATAAAACAAAAGCAAATGCTCTGTGACCTTCTAACAAAAGATGCTTTTTATCTGGCCAACAGAAGTTCAGAAATACTCTTTGGCTGCACCCTGGGCTCAGCTGGTAGAGTACTTTCCTAGTATGTATGTAGCCCTGGACTGGATCCCCAACAGTGCATAAACAGGAAGTGAAGGCACAGGTCTATAGTCACTTCTAGAGAGCATGGTATGTGAATTACATCTCATTAAAGCTGTTAATTGATAACCACTTACTGAAAACCAAAACTCGCTTATGGTCTGAAGGGGACAGACACTAATCCCACAAACAAATAAATTATGAACCAAGGCAAAAACAAGTTTTCACTTATTTCTCTGAAAAGTGGTATTTTTCTGGCCAGGCATATGACTCAAGCTGTGAGTCAATAGGAGCTTACTCCAAAACTTGCTGGAGCTCCAAAGGATAATGAGTTCTTCATTTCTGATTGTTCTCTAGTTATAGGATGGCGTAAAGTTTAAGATAAGAGCTTCCAGTAACCATCTTAGGGAGGAACAATCATCTTTTGTTATTTTTCCTTCAGAAACAGTCTAAGGATTCATGCAGCATTTATATTGTACAATAACCAAGAGATGACTTAAAGCATGAGAGGATGTCCTTCGGTATATTCAAATTCTACACCAAGTCACATAAAAAACTTGAATATCTGTGCATTTTGCTATCTATGGGTCAGGGAAGGGGTAGTTTTAATGTTAACTCCCACAGATAGAAAGAGATATGTACTTTGTCAAGCATCAATTATAATTAACATAGAAATGTAAGCAAATGTTAATGAAGGTATAACCAGGGAGATTTTAAAACCAAAATTAAATCAGGTTTCAAAGGAAAATGCCAATATGTAACTAAGTTCTAAAACTTAAGAGTTTACATCAGGAGTGATAACCAGTGAGGGAACACAATGGGCCTGAGTCTAGTAAAGCCAAATCAGAGGGCATACACACATCTGTCATCCATCTGGAATCTTTAATCACTGAAAAGAACTCTGTCCACTTCTAAGTGACTCCTACAATAAGGACATCAGAGCCAGCCATGGCGGCGCACACCTGCAATCCCAGCTTCAAGCAGGAAGACAGCAATTTTCAGGTCAGCCCACAGAACAGATGGAGATGTGTTTCAAAATAAAAGCTGAGAATGGGGTTCAGAGGGTTTAACCGAACCCCAGCACCTACTCCGCAACCAAGACACTAGAATTGTTTCAACACTGTAAGACATGTTCTCTCTGACCCATCTGGTGAGAAACACCCTGGGGGTTTGGCAACATGAACGCACTAATCAGCAGTATCTTTTTATAAACTTTATTTTTAACAGCATGCTGCATAATATTGGTATTTGCTTTACGTTCACAGGGGACAAGACAGAGAAATGAATTTTGTGTTTTGTTTAAAGTCAGAATTCCTTTTTCCATTATTAATTAAACTTTTTCTTCACACAATACAGTCTGCTCACATTCTTGACTTCTTCAGAGAAATGTCACTTTCTACATCCTGTATGGTCTTCCTACAACATCTCGCACTTAAGTCCTCAAATAAAAGCCAGGCATGGTGGCACACACCTTTAGTCCCAGCACTCAGGGGGCACAGGCAGAGGGATCTCTTTGAATTCAAGGCCAGCCTGGTTTACAAAGTGAGACCCTGTCTCAAAAAGAAAAATGCACCAATGAATAATCATCATCAAATCGCACCTTACTGTAAAGAAATTATACATAACCCTCTTCTAAAATCATGAAAATATTAAGCCAGAAGAGGCAATATTTTTAAAGTAAAAATTGTAATTTACTTACTATGGTATTTGACTACAGATATGAAAATAAAAGGTAAAGTACAAGAAGAGATGAACCTTCAATCATGACAGCAATATACCATAAAACTGTGCTGTTTTCCTTCCATCTACTCATAATCCTGTCTCGGGTGCTGGGGAGTGAGCCCATGGCTTTGAGCATGCTATGTAAGTGCTGGTTTACCTTTAAGCCTCACCCTCAGCCCTTAATATGAAACTTTCAAAACACAGGCATTATCTCCTTATAGCCAAAAATTTTAAGACATCTAGTAAAATGGAACAAGTGTTTACCTCTCAGTTCCCTACTGACAGAAAGAACTCATGGCCTGCTACTGCATAGAACACAGTACTTACATTTCAATTATAAACACAAAAGCCAACAGACATTTTTTCTGAACACAACAATAAGGTACACATAAGAGACACAGAATTCCAGTACAGAACAAGGTCAACTTTGGTGTTATAGGAGCTAAGCTGGGCAAGCTTGCTAAAGGCAAGGGCAAGTGATCTGAAAACATTTGGCTACCACCACCACCAACAAAAGACTTCCCAATTCTAAGCTGCAATGTGAAGAAAATGAAAAAGAAAAGAATTTTTAGCTTCCAGCGATGTCATACTATATATGAACAACTCACTAAAGACACATATGCATCCTTTTAAAACCCACCTAACATAGGTAATGTGAAACAGACTGACTCAAAAAAAAACACCAAATCCTCATTTATTTTACATTATTAGATGTATAACTGGCCTTAGGACTTTGATGTAAAATGATTAAAATAAAACTTGTAAAATTTAAATATACAAGTACTACTCCCAAATTATTTTAAGACACAAATGACAAAATATTCCTTTTTAGTAGTATTGAATTTTAGAAGCAAATAAGCAACCAGTGGTTTTATCAGTTGGTTTTTAAACCCATTATTGAAAAGTTATCTATTATAAAGGTTATTAAGTATGAAGCTCAGAGCATTTAAAACATAGAAAAAAAATGTTCTTAAAAGAGACACATGGCTGGCATATTTTGAGAGGCATACCTTCAGACTGCCTTCTTTTACAGTGACCAGCTCTGGTGGATGTGCTTCTTTTATCAGGGTTATTTAGTAGGCTGCTATGTCCTTACCACATCTTATATGTAAACTAACAGACCAGGGCTGGGAGATGGCTCAGGGGGTAAAGCGCCTGCTGCCTGAGACCAAGAACACAGGTTTGGATCCCAGCATCCTGGGTGAAATCCAGAGTAGCAGTGGGCATCTGTAATCCAGGCACTATGGGTGAAAGACAGACACTCACTGGCCAGCCAGTCTGGCCAGCCAGATCCTGTGTGTCAAGGTGAAGGGCCAAAACAGGAAGGAACCCAACATTGACCTCTGGCTTCCATAGACAGGTAAGTGTACCTAGACACAAACACACACCATCCCCCAAAATAAGTCCATCATATCAAAAGTTCAGGTATATAACCTTACTATAACTTACCTTTTTCATTTTCTTTGTATCTACAAACACCAACTGGAATCTCAGCTTGAAACATGGAGCCCACCATGATTTCCTATTTTAAACACAACAAAAAAATACCTAGTGATACAAATCTTATGCTCATGTCTAGCTTCACTATCTTCTAGGGTAAACTCACTCTGGCCTCTTTGTCATAAAACCAATTACCTACCTCATGGTAGTATTGTGAGGATGAATGAGTTAATAATAGCTAGGAGCTTACATATGACTGGATGGGAAATATTAATAATAATGAATAAAATGTAATATAAACAATACATTGTTTGGCATTCTTTGAATGGTGTCCACTACAGAGTCCCTCGGCTGTCAATCCCTATGCTCTTTACATGCACCTGCCCACCAAAGAATCGCAAACAGTCATTCTTTAACTTTCACCCCAGAATAGACAATTACTCCCTATAGACTTATACATGGAATTCCCCCTTCAGTTAATCATCCACACTACATACTCTGGCACCTCCCTAGATGGGAAAGAATTGCATACAATAAAGAAGAAGGTGCAGCAGGTAATGGTTCAATCTCTGATGACTCATTCCAGGTCCTCCTTCTATAAGGACATATCAACAGTCTCCTGAAGGTAGTCAAAGCTGCTCTGTGATGGCTGCTATGTTCCAACAGGAACAAATATACATGCAGGCAAAACACCAATAAACTTGAAATAATGAAATAAAACAAAACCCAGGAAGAGAAGAAAAAACCTCAAAGGGTGTTATTTTTTTAAAAGAGGAAAGATTAGGCAATCATCTCTCACTAAGGAAAACATCATCCTACAGAAATGATTTGCTTTAACCAATTACACAGAGTGTGTACCATGATTTCCTAAGAGGTTCAACTCCTATGCAATACCATAAAATTAAATGTTAAACTATGTGGTTAATTAAATAATGCTATGTAACATTGTAAGGAAAAAGAACCTAATGTCTCAAGTTTATTTTAAAAACTAGTTGTACATTTATAGAGCAGTTCAACCTATAACACCAACATTTATCACTTCAGGATTAGATAATTAGAAATTTGGATTTTTAATACTGGTTTGAGTATGAATACACCAGCAAAATCTGATTCTACCCACACTATCATTTTATGAAAAGATAAATTTTCTTAGTTGGATATATTAATGGGGAGCTTGAACAAATATTTACAAAATGCTTAAATGTCACAAAAAAAAGGCAAATGCACTGACTTCATCAATAAGCATGATTCATTAAAAATATTTTTGGCTTTTAGAATATTACTGTAAGTTTTGGAAAAATACCTTTTTCCAGTCTTCTGATGGAATATAATCTTCATCTTCTTCCGATTCTTCTTCTATTTCACTATCTAGAATATGTAAGAGAATGATACTATAAAATGGACATTTATCCTGTCCATATCTTTGTATTTTTATACCTACCACCAAATATTTAGATATGCCAAAAGGTCTGCTAAATCAGACCAAGATATTTAAAATCAAATAATGAACACTGTATCTAAAACAAGACAATAACAAAAAATTTCCCCAAATAAAAGAAAAACTATGAATCTTCTAGGACAACTCTATTCTCAGGAGATTTTGTAAGGACACAAAAACTTCAAGATTAGTGTCAACATAATCTTTTACATGATATCAAGTTCTTCACACAGAATACAAAGACTTAGAGCAATGTTGGCCAAACAGTTTTCTTAATAAAACTTGGAAGTTTGGAGCAAAATTGTAGGGGAAGAAAATAAGAAGTCTGGGTACATAATGAAAACCTATATTCTCCCCAATTTTTATTTTATTCACACCAGGCAAGCTGTTGCTTGGTTATGTTCAAATGAGGATGGTTTACAGGGCTGGCAGACTGCTTGCCTAACACACACTAAGCGCTGGGTTCAATCCCCAGCACTGCATGTGATAAGAGTGGCACAAGCCTATAATCCCAGCATTTGGGAGGTGGAGAAGTTAAAGATTAAAATTCAAGGTCATCTTCAGCTATGTAAGGAAATGTAGAGTCTGATTCTCAGGAAATACATTGAGGTAGAAAGAGAAAGTTGACTCTTGCTGTCCTCTGACCTCCACATGCCATCCCGTCACAGTGGAAACTGGGGAACCCTATCAGCATTTATTCATACCCCAAGAAGTGACCACCTTTTTGCACCTAGGAGCCATAAGATTATAGAAGACAACAGTACAAATATATAGTTATGTACTGCATGATGTATCTTTGGTCAACAGACTCAATTTATTTACAATGGTGGTGACACTGCCAAGATTGTATGATCTTGAGGTGCTGTGTCAACATTAGTCACACAACCAAGAAACTCGACAACATGTTTCTCAGAATATATCCCTGCTGCTGAGTGACACATGAATATAATGAAAGATGGTTCAAAGTCAAACAAAGAAAAGTAGACAAACAAAAATTTCAAGACTACACAAAATAAAAGGAAGACACCCATATTTAGTCAGTATATGAAGCAGTACATGTTGTGATACATGCATTGAGAACAGGACCTTCATTTTGATATTCTAGTAACCCCTAACAAAATCCATTTACTTTTGAAAGCAATTTCAGAATAAGTGAATTCAAGTATCAATAAAACCACATTAGAACTTTAGGTATTATAAAAGAGTGAAAATTACATTCTAACTATAGCAATGATAATACATACTTGTATCAAAATATTTACATCGACGGGGACGAATTATTTCCTGAGCATCTTGGGAAGTGACAGACTGGGAGGGATCATCATTGGAAGACTGAGTTTCATCCTCCTGGCCCGATGAATCCTTTATATTCTCTTCCTATAGAATAAGAAAATACTTACAATATGAGGAATACTGTTGTAGGCCAGTAGTCAAATTGTGTTTTAGAGGTAGCTGTAGGATCATAATAAACCCACCAAATGAAATGTGATTTCCTGGGTTAGTTCTTGGAACTAGGGTAAAACCTTGGAGCTGAAGTCCCAGCCATTTAGAGTTTAGCTAAGGGCACTTAGCAGGGCTAGTTTTGGTAAAGACATTTGTTGCTGTTGTTTTTTTTTTCTCTTTTGGGGGGCCCGCCACGCAGCTCCCAAATAAACCACACATGAAGGTTTATTCTTAATTATAAATGCCTGCTTAGTTTGGTTTGGTTCTTGACAGCTTTTCTTATCTTAAATTATCCCATCTATCTTTGGCCTCGGGGCTTTTCCCATTCTCTGACTTCTGTAAATCTTACTCTTACTCAGTGGCTGGCTGTGCAGCTGGGTGGCTGGCCCCTGAAGTCCTCCTCCTCCTTCCTTCTCAAAGTTCTCCTATATGTTCTCTCTGCCTGCCAACCCCGCCTATGCTTTCTCCTGCCTTGCTATTGATCGTTCAGTTCTTTATGAGACCATCAGGCGTTTAGACAGGCACAGTAACATAGCTTCACAGAGTTAAACAAATGCAACATAAACAAAAGCAACACACCTTAAAATAACATTCTACAACAGACATTGAGTTACACTGGGTGTTAATATTAGGAAAGCAGTATAACCCTCTTGTATCTAAAATAATTTTAAAAAATGAATACAGAACTGCCAGACAGCTTATTTAATTTAAAAGTAACAGCATTTTTTTTTTTTTAAAGTTGGTACTATTCAGAAAAAGCAAAAAGAAATCTGGAATGAAACATCAAATTTATCTCACTGGAGTGAATTACAAGGGATTTTCAATTTTTATATCACACATTTCCTAATTTTTATTTTCAAAATTTAATCATACTGTACAAAATTATATTTAGAGCTTAGTACTATCTGTGGTTTCACAAATACAACAGGAATTTTAGAACATAAATGTTCCACGAAGAAGATAAAAAAACACTGGACGAGCACTAACTTACTTTATTTTCCCCACTACAGCCACTGTTGTCATCATTATCAGCGTCTTCATCATCTTCACCTTCCTCCTCCTCGTCCTCTTCCTCCTCATCTTCTTCAGGTAACCGAACAGTGCTGTCGTAACCATAGAGGCTGAGAAGCTCGTGGATTGGCATGTCGCCTTCCTAAGTACACCAAAATAAGCCAATTTCTGAAATCAATGACTTCTTATTTCCATGTTGTAATTTACAAATCTGTAAAGTACTAAATTGACACTTGTTTTTTCCTTTAGAGAATATATGTAGTCTTGTGTCTAATATGTTCAGTATTTTCAAATTATGAAAAGGAGAAATAAAAACCCAATCTTTTATTCCTATAAACTGACCAATTTTAACTGGTCCGTATATTTGTCAATAGTCTGAAATCAATTACAATTTTTGCAATAATTCAGTCTACATACCAGAGTCAGTTAGCCCTTACATATGGATTATTATGAACAGTACCCTAAATAATTTGGGGCAAAGAGAGTAATTAGAAAACAGGATATCATCTAATTCAATAAATCCAGAAAGGGAGATTAAATTCCCTACTCAGGCAAAGCACACTGCAGGAACAACAGCAATTACATACAAAATGATACTAGGTTACAAAGCCATATATATTGTTCTAAAGTAATCTTCAATTTACATATAAAAATCATGTCAGCACTGATTATCTATGTAACTATTACATTAATCCCATCACATAGATGAGGACACATGGGCACATACATTAAAGAATTTTCTTTAAAAAATTACACAAGTCACATTATAATACATTCAGATTTTCATCATATGACTCTAAAGGTTAATAATTTTATTAGCGCATTTTAGGGCTTCAGTCAGGACCTTCAATCCCTCCGAAAGACATATCCACTGTGAATAAAATGAAGAAATAGCCTTATTTGGGAAAATAAAATCCATTTTCTGCAGAAGGCAATCACTAATCAAGAGATGTCAAGCATCAAAACCAATAAAATTCTGATTATAAAAAAATCAAAGTTTAACCCAACTTATCTGAACATATCATACACACATACACAAATACATATACATATTCTAAAGAAAAACGTAAGTGTCAAATTGGAACCTAGAGAAATGGTGCTCTTTAAATAAGACAATATATTTTATAGTTTTCTACCATTATATGCCATAATATCAACAGAAGTCTAATTCACATATCAAACATTTCTGCAGAGAGGATATATATACATTAGAATGTATAACATAAAATTGGTAACACCAAGTTCATCTCCCCTCACTCAGAATCTATGTAGATGGTAGGGGGGATGGGCTGTTTAAAGGCACTTACTGCTCATGGAGAGGACCTAGGATCAGTTCTCAGCACCTAAACTGGGTAGCTCACAACTACCTGCAACTCCAGTTCCAGGCAATGTGATACCTCTGACCTTCTTGGGCACCTGCACCCCCCCCCACATACATCTCAACACACACACACACACACACACACACACACACACACACACACACAGACAGACATATTTTTTTAAGAAAAAAAATTTAGTAATTAATAATCTGTAAATTCTTCAGAGGGAGAAAATGGCATTTGATACTTGTACTGCACACTGTAAATCAACTTGTGATCCTACTTTGAAAGAGTTTAGTTCTGAAGGGTCCAATAATCTGTAGACTACAGTTTGACAAGCAATTGCTCTATCTAGCAAGGCATCACCATGCCAGATAAGATATTTAATTGACAGCCATGCTGTGTTATTTTTAAAGTATAACTAAAACCATAGTTAAGGTATTGAAAGAACTGGCCCATGGAAATCTGAACAGTACCAAGGACACCGAAATTGAAGACTAGAGTCAGTACTTAAAAAGAACAGAACTTCAACACCAAGACCCAGAAACTTACTAGTAAGGATAGAAAAAAGGACATTTCCACAAACAGAAACAGCCTCCCCAGCATCTTAGTGGTCAAACATCTGAGCCAGATGCTTTGATTTCACTTTCTCTAAGAACAAAAGCAGCCAGAAGCACACAATCTCCTCAGATCTTTAAGACTATCAGATGGTAATGTCTGCTACTTTCATTTTTGTATTAAGGTGTGGTGATATTTTATTTGTTAGAACACAAAATATCACCATGATCTAAAAATATCACATTAAGGAAGCAAAGCAGAGACACAGTACATGCTGTTTGACCCCTGGACCTAATTCCAGCTCATATAATTTTCCTTAAACCCAATGGGGCACCCCAAATAAGAAGTAGGTTCGGCAACTGAAGTTAATTAGTAAGGGTCACTAAAGGTATGAGAGTCAAACTGAAAAGAAACATTAACATGGCAGTTTACAACTATCATTCTTACCAGCTGTATAAGAATTCACAAACAGCTTGTTTCGTTTTTAGTTCCTGTTTTAGGACAATGAATGTTACTATTAGAGTGAGTGTTAAGTGACAATTTAACCGAGTTAATTGAGTTAATTGAGAAGGCCATGCTCTATTTTGAAATCATTTTCTGACTAGAAAACAGTGCTTGGTCCACTCTCTAAGACATCAATCGAACAACCCCTTTGGGGTCCTGAGTGTTGATCTGCCTTATTTAGAGCGTTAAGTCAGCTGGAAGAACAGGATGCTGGTCTTATGCTAGTCTCTAGCCTAATGTCTTAGATGAGGGTTCTCTAATCTGTATTTGCTTTGTTTTGTTTTTGTTTTTTGAGGCAGGGTTTCTCTGTGTAGTCCTGGATGTTCTGAACTCACTCTGTAGACTAGGTTTGGTCTCAAACTCAGATCCCCCTGCCTCTGCTTCCTGAGGGCTCAGATTAAAGGCATGCACCATCAGTGCCAGACTTTTAATCTGCATTTAAAAAAATTTCTAAGTAAGGCTTCTTACATGAGTATGAAATATCTCAAAGGACACTAATTTCACAGGTGCAGGATAAGATAGCAGCCAATCAGCCTTTCCAGTGGGAGAATAGAAAGCCTGGACATTATTTTTCAAATCTTCCACTAACAAAACAGCAGCTCAGTTAGCTTACAAAAGGTCAGGTGACATATTAACTGTACAGAAGGGAATTTCACTTGAAAAGCAGAGTGGTTAAACCATGGACTGTTTCTCCACACGTAACACAGATAAGAAGTACAAGTCCCTACATAAATTTACTTCTCAAAAGTCCAGAAACACCTCCAATACTGAGAAAGGGCAGAGACAGTGCAAAGTAGCCTCCTCAATATCTCACAGACTCCACTAAAAAAAAGAACCAGTAATAAAACTAGCACACGGAGAAAGTCACTGAAGTCAAATGATAAATGGTTAAAGCATAAAAATTAAAAAAAAAATCAGACCCTCTTGATAGAAGCAGACATACTTCCCGTACATAGTAAGTGAAAACTATACCCTCACCACCACCAATACTATTTCAAAAGGATATAGGTTATGGGAAGATCAGTAACAGATTAATCACAGACATAGTGGGTTTTCTGTTTCTTTTTGTTTTTAAACTTAATTTCTATGACCTAAGTTTCTTAAATGACAATTTTTTGTTCAGGTCTGATCCTCATGGTTACTTTTTGTGGTCACTTTTGCTCTGTGTCAGAATGACTCTTAGTTGTTCATTCATTAGTATGCAAGCTAAGTTAATGCTGTTTCAAAACAAGCTGCATTTTCAGAATGACTGAAAAAGAAAAGAACAAAAGTCTGAAACACATGAAAAAAATAATTGGGTTCAGAATCCAGCAATACCTAGATGGGGGAAAAAAAAAAAAAAGGTCGATGTCTGAAAGAATGGAAACGTTCACAGCCCTGGTTTACCAAACACAAGTACCAAGTTGCCATACTGTAGTTGGTAAAAATGTACAAGGAACATGCCTATAAAAAGTTCAGATAAACAACCAGGTATAGTGGTGCATGTCTGTAATCCCAGGACCAGGGAGACTGAGGCAGGAAGATCTCAAACTCCAGGTCCGATTGGACTATACAGGGAGTACAAGGCCAGGCTGGGATGCAGAGCTGAGGCCATGTCTCAAAATGATAAACAGGAAAGCATAAATGCAATAGACAAACTCCTACTAATATTACATTTTTTGTTTTTTGGGACAAGGTTTTACTGCATCTATATTGGCCTGGAACTTACTCTGTAGCCTAAGCTAGTTTCCAACTCATGGTTTTTCTGCCTTAGTTCATGGGTGCCAGAGTTAAAAGTGCATGCCACCTAGAAGCCAATTTTATTTGTGGCTAGTCAGTCTTAGCGGCAGACCCTCTCTAGGAGGGCAAGCTACATCTTCTGGCAATCTATCTTGGATGGGCTTTATTGGATTCCTCTAGTCTCTCAGCTAAAACCTGAACACATGATACAGCTTCCTCCAAGTCCTTCAAAGCATTTGCCAGCATTTGTCTCATAGCACACTCGGAAAAATAAACACTGGACACTAAACCTTGGGTTAAAGGATACTGACTTTGACATCTTTGTGTGTGTGCAGCATTTCTAACAATGGATTGGCAGTCATCATCTGTGTATGGGGGCAGGGTGAGAGTGGCATGTGGTGCATGCAGCACCCAGAAGCCAGAGGACTTTGGGTGGTCCTACTGTATCCGATCATTATTGTACTAAGGCCCATCAGTCACCCATTTTCACAGAACATTACATTATCAAAGTCTACATTCTACCAAGTATTAAGGGAGGGACCTCCTTCAACGTAGTCTTTTGACACACCAGCTAAGCAGTGGCTGGGAAACCTCAATGATCATCCTTTCTTAGCACTCCAACTCCCAATGCTGGGGTTACCTGATGTTTCACATGGGTGCTGGGGATACGAACTAAGGTCCTCATGTTTACACAGCAAGTGCATCCAACACTGTGCTATCCATCTCCTGAGCCCATGACTTCTTTAGAGAGACTGCTAAGTTTACAGATTTTGCTAGGTCTTTGGGTCGAAGTTAATAAGGAATAGGAGTTCCTGCCCGTAGGATGCCCTTATCTCACTCACAAGAATTAAGTTGAGAATGCTCAAAGTGCTGTGTATATAATCTCCTTGGTCTGTAACAAGAATAACTCTTAATTAGTACCAGGCAGACATGGATAAAAACATTCAGCTTCTCAGTTTGTTTCTAGTATTTTATCAGAATCAGCTAAACAAAAATAAAGGGAGGATATCACACAATGTAGGAACAGCACAATGAAAAG